ATATTAGATTATATTAGATTAGATTAGATTAGATGGTCATGCATCATTCTGTGCTAAAATCCTCGCAACATTCTGTTATGTAAGAGGCCATTCACACAGAAAGCATTTTTCAGTTCCATTGCAATGTTTCCAATTGTTTTCCCAATTGATTTGAGCTTTTAAAAAACATCTCTAGACCTTACTCTTTTTTTCTTTTTTCTTTTCACTGCCCTGCATCTCGTGTTGGTTTTTAAATACAAAAACACATTCTATATCTTCTAGCAGAAGGATACCATTTGGCTTAATAAAATAAGCTTTTAATAAAAGTATTGTATTATATTATATTATATATTTTATATTACAGCCATTTCAAATACTCTTCTTTTTCTAGATTCCGCAACAGAACCATTTGGAGAACAGGCTGAGGTGACTATGCGCACCAACTTCTGGGGAACTCTGTGGGTGTGTCATGCTCTTCTGCCGATACTTCGACATAATGCTAGGGTGGTCAATGTGTCCAGCTTTGTTAGCAAGAAATCCCCTGACCAGTGCAGTCCTGAACTACAGGCAAAGTGTGTGAATACATTTTTATAATAAGTGATAAGGTGAAGTACACAGCATGCTGAGTATTTAATTTGTTTTTATGTTTACCTTTGGACAGATTCCGAAATAAAGATTTGTCAGAGGAGGTTGTGCCTGCTGATGGGAGAGTTTGTTCAGGCTGCACAGGCTGGGGCTCATACGGCTCAGGGCTTGCCAAACACTGCCTATGGCACCACCAAGGTAACAAACATCTTTATTTGTCCCTGACATACTAAGGTGTCTGATTTGTTGGGTAGTGTGTTTTAGCAATAAGCAGGCCCAAACTAAACGTGTATTTGTTTTCTGTCTTTTTTAGATCGGTGTGACTGTGCTATCAAGGATCCAGGCTCGAGTTCTTACCGAGACAAGGCCAGGTGATGGTATCCTCCTGAATGCTTGTTGTCCAGGATGGGTGCGAACAGACATGGCTGGACCAAATGCTACCAAGAGTCCAGAGGAAGGAGCAGAAACGCCTGTTTATCTGGCAATGCTGCCTGAAGGAGCCAAAGAGCCGCATGGACAGCTAGTGTGGGACAAGACTGTACAGGAATGGAAGCGTGAAGAACATCAGTTCATTCCATCTGAAAAGAATGTAATGATTACATCTGGAAGTGACTGACTTTTCCAAAATATACTGACATGCTTACATGAAAACAATACTGTAAATTTTGACTTCTATGACATTAAATTACATTTTAAAAAGCTCTGACATGTACTTGCCACAGTTTTCTTGAATGTAAATGAATGAATTATAGGGAAGATATGAGCTCTCCATATCTTATTTTCAGTATCTGTTCGGTTTCTAGGGTCATTTTGTTTATCTAGCTAAGATAAACAGAAGATATTGTTCAGATTTACCATCTGAACAATCCGAAATCTCTGTATAGAATTCCTATTTTGTCCATTGCATATTTAGTTTGCCAAAACATTTGTGAACTTGTGCTCTTAAATTGTAACCATTAAAATTATTTGTTGTAAGATTGACTGCCTTCACATTCTTCACGCTCAAAGGTTATTTCTCCTCAAGTCATGTGCTTATTTTAGGATACTCAAAGCATTCGATAGAGAAATATTTACTGTATTATAGAATACTGATTTTTGTGCTCTGCAGTTCATCCACAGTCATACCCACCTCAACACTTATGATTACATGAAGTAAAACACCAGTGATTTTATGCAAGCTTTTGTTGGTGCAAGCTCTGTTCTTGAGAAATCAAAGCCATCATAAAGCAATCTGTAAAACAATCCAGCTAATAAACTGGTATTGTAACTAGTACTAAAAGGTACAGTATCTTAAACCTTTTTGGACAGCAGAAAGTAGGCTAGTTATCACTGCAGTGAATGTAGTATAGGCTTTTTGTAATGTATCTGAACTATTACTCTACCAGCTGGCAGATTAAAGTTTGGCATATGTAATAAAACACTGCAATTAACTCTGGTAATCAAATCCCCACTCTCAGCATCATTAAACTAAAAACCATCTTGTTGTTTGGATCATGCTCACAATATTGCATTACTGAAGTCAATGATGTTTTCATTGAGAAACAAAAACCAAGATTACTTATTTCACTTTTTACTTTTTAAATAAATAAATGGACAGCCCTGATCTAACCACTTTAGAATCATGTCGAAGAACCTGTATTCATTTCCATTCATTTGTGGAAAGTGCAAATAGAACTAAAATAGCTTCACCCCAGTTGTTCCACTAGATGGCAGCATAGGACAAAAATCTAAAGAATATCCTCAAACTCTTTACCTCTCCTGTTGGGTAATTCCTGGGATTCGGTAACATTTCTGTCCCTCAGATTTTTTGAAGTGGTGGTTCACCAAATATTAAGTATTAAAAGCTTTTCACAATACTTTGGTATGACCATTATAATGAATAAAAATAATTACTGCATTTAAATATTTTTTATCATAAAATAATCGATCTTATTTCTATTTCTATCTTACACCAAACATTTTGTCATGTCCCTGAGGCAATTCACTGAGATTGTACTTAGAAAATTATTAACAAAATGTGCACAGTGTCTATAGTTTTTGGCAATAATGTAAGCATTTATTTATGTTCCTTGCTTTCTTGTGAAAAATATTTTACTAAAAAAAATGCAAGATATTTTATAAAAAAAACAAAAAACTTTAAAGTTATTTCCCTTAGTATGAACTCAACCTCGTCACACTAACCATTCTAGGCATATAATAATTTAGACTCCACCCATATGTGACATCATTTATCCAAAACGACGTCATTCAGGTCTCTTTAATTGTGGTGTAGAAAATGGTAGTCAAGCTTAACAACTTTACCCCCTGTCACATAAACTTAAGATGGAAATGATTTTTTTTTTTCAACATTTAATTGTAATCCATAAGTATATACAATATACTTATTGTATTGCTGCCATATGTCTGCTCTCCTACACTACATGAGGAGCAGTGGCCGATTTGAGAGAAAAACCCCACTCAACCCTGACACAGATATATAGATTTCTCATTGTTTCTAGATTGTAAACTCGTGACAGGGTTATTTATGAGTTATTTAATAAATGTATTAATAATTTAATTAAAAAATATAAAATAGTCTTGGTTTTAGTAAATATATAGCTACTTAACAAAATCATGAAAACTCGTATTTTTGTTATAAATACAATATTTGATGTAATATGTCCACTTAAACTTTGACAAGCATCCTACATCAGAAATTGCACCCACATTAGTCGCAGAAAGACAGTGCTGGACATGCAGATATGTTGACCCAGAAAGAAGGGGACAATATGAAAAAGAAACAAAACTGAAAGTTCAAATTGAAGGCAATGTATCCCTTCAAATGCGTTACAGTCTTCAACCCCGTACCTACTTGTCACATTAATATTTTTTGGAAAAAAAAATAGGGAAGCCAAGGATGAAAGCATTTCTTTCTGATTACCATCTGACATTTTTAAGGACTAAAACAAAAAAATTCTAAACATCTAAATTAACAATATTTTTATTTTTTTACAAAAATAAAGAGACCATATACACACATTTTGTCTATTTTTAACTTCAGTCCCATGAAAAAAAAAAAGGATAAATGCTACAAATGCTATATATATATATATATATATATATATATGTGCATCTGAACTCTTCATATATATATATATATATAGCAAACTGGTATATAAACATAATTCATCAGAATTAACTGGCTCTAATTCTGTTATATTTTCAGTAACAGTAAAATAAATTACATAAAATGCAGTAATCTACCACACAGTGCACAAACTTTTAATTCACTTCCTTTATAAAAACAAACAACAACAAATAAAAAAAGCCTTGCCAGCTGTGAAGCCACAACAAAATAGCTGGCAGGAAATTGTCTTTCCTGAACACCTGTAACAAATGTGGATTCTGGGAAAAACAGAGCAACAACACGCACTAAAAACATTCAGTGGTGATCACAAATACAGTATACGGCAATAAAATGACACCAACAGCACAGACTTTCGAAAACCTGAACTACATTACAACGTTGCTTACTTTTGGAGCTAAAACATTATGATATTAAAACACTATTTTTCTGTGTTTTCAGAGGGATTAATTACAACAACAACAAAAGTAATTTTAGAAAATAATTTAAAATAATTTGCAAGCACATATTTAAAAACAAGGAGGGTTTTTCAATGTCAACAGCATAATTAAGTAATAAGTAAGCAATGCTTGTTAACCTGCAAGTATATAAACAGTCTGCTGAAAACAGAACCGAGAAATATCATATTCCACTTAATACAGTAAACATGTGTCCAATAGTTTTTATATGCAAAATTTTATTCAGAATAATCTACACCTGAACTGTGATGAAAATTTTAAGTCACAATTTGATTTTCTGCTAAATAATAGTTATCTCCTCTATATCAAACAATGAATATTACCACTTTTATGACAACATGCACAGCATATGTAGAGTGTTATTCTCAACATAAATGTACAACAGTATAAGACAATCAGTACATCTAAGTGTGGTACAGTGGAGTCAAGTAAAATGAAAAGGACAAGTTGACCAAACAACAGGAATAAACTGGGTTACAACTGCCTCAAAATGTTCCTCTCTTGATTTTGCTCATCAGGACCAAACAGAGATAGGGCTTTCAGCAACACTTGCAGGTCTTCACAATCATATTTGACAGTTGTTCTACCTGGGGAAAGTTATAGTGAGCATTATTTAGATGATATTTCTGTTGACCACTGATGAAAGTGACATCAAAAACATCAATAAAATCTATTCTGACCTTATGTTGCCGGCCCACATAGTAAAGGATGGGCAGTGGGTCTAGAACCTGAGGTACACAGCAGGGTTGAGCAGATGCACCAGGATTGTGATGCCTATACAGCGCAAGAACCTGTAGGCAAAGAAAATCGGATAATGTCAGACCCATATTTCCAGTCAGTCCAGTTCTAAAACATTTCAAAGCATCTGTCAGTCCTGATTCCTACCTGTGAGTACTTATTTTCTGAAGTCCAGACGAAAGAGCAAGAGCCAGTGCAATAGTTGGCATAATAACCAGAAGGTTCATGTATCCACTTCCAGCCCAGGTCTTTGCGGAAGTCAATGTACAGACTTCTCACACAGCAGCCGTCAGACTTACTGCATTTAACGGGAAGATGGCACACTGTAAGGCTTTTGATTTAGAAAGAATAAAGAATATAAATTTTACTTTATGTCGACTCATAAAAGGCTTACTCGGTGCAAACTCGATCTGTTTCAGTTTGACGTTTTCTGCGAGATTTTGATGAGCTGTGGCCATCAAGAGGAAGTGACATTACCAAAATGTGAGGCCTTGGCATATGTTCTGATAAGGTTTCTGTATCACCTCGTACACGAAACAAACCTGCAAACACAAAGAGCAATATTAGCTTGTTCTATCAACATCAACACAGGATTTCATTTTAATTCACAAACCTGCTATTTTGATTGGAAATGTCTTCTGAGGTTCACAGTTATCCCCCATCTTCAATTGAAATCCTTGCTCTGCCTCTATGAAACAAATTTTAGAGAAAGTTTTATTTTGTATACAATGCATATATGTAATAACACTTATTTTAAACAGATACATCACTCTTACAGTGCCAGTGTTTTCTGTAATATAAAAAGTAAAATAATCATCTGAAGATTAACCTTCAAAATGTTGATCATCATCCCCATGATGTCATGATGTAAATATTTTTACTATTTTATTTATTTATTTATTTTCATAATTATATTATTATTAAAACGGTTGCAATTTTTCAGCCCTGTTAGAAAAGTTTTGGGACATGTCTAAATACAGGTTAAAGCCCTGATTTGTTTGTTTGTTTGTTTGTTTTTTCTAGCAATAAACATTACATCCTGATTTGTGTGTTTGTTTTTTTCTAGCAATAAACATTACATCAACATGAAAATTAAATAGATAAAATCTTTAAAATAAATAGATAAAACATTTGAAAGATTAAAATGTAAATGCAAAAAGAACTAGAACTACACCCAAAAGACTAACAAGTTTGCAAATTCTGCACATTTTAGTTTGCAGCAGTGTTATTTTAGTATTATGTATTAGTATTATTATTTAATAATATTTTGATCTAGTCTTTATTTTTATATTTTCCATTGTATTTCATTATTAATTTAATTAATAATATAAATTTTGTTATGTGCCTTTGTCATTTTATTAGTTTTCATTAGGTTTTTATATTTCTGTTTAGCTTTCATTTATTTTTATTTCAGTTTTAGTCATTTTAGCACTTCAAAAACATTGTTTTTTTAAATGACATATTTCCAGTTTTCAGCTCATTATTTCAATTACCACAAACTATTTTAAATATGATTTTTAGGTATAGTTAACAATAACACGGTGTTGCAGTTATTAATAAACATTACCAATAAATAAAAGGGGAAAAGTTATGCGGTAAGGTTGAATGCAAAATGTGGGACACCGCTAAATTCAGATTAGAAACCTAAATAAAATACCTTTTTTTATTTTTAACAGATTACATTTAAATGTAAAAGATTTAAATTTAACAGATTATGATATTTAAGATTTTAATGATTAGATACAGTTGAGTTGGTCATTTGATGTGTTTTAAATGAGCTACTTTCCATGCTAGGTTAATTTGACATTAGATGGTAGTTAGTTTCTCACAAAAACACACATGGTCCCATTTGGCAGGCAGCACTGATTCTCACCATTTCTCTGCAGCCAGTCCTTCAAGGTCTGCGTCACATCAAACGATAGCCACTTGCTTGCCATTTGGTCAGAAATAAAGCGTGATTCCAGGTAGCGTGACTTGTTCCCTGTGACCTGATACAACTCCAGTCTCTGCTCTGAACCAGGAACACCTGAAACCAATGTGATGCGCAGACGGAGCTCCACCTGGGAGATTGTGCAGTTTAAACCCAATGTGTGGCTTATATCTGTGATGTTGAACCATAAGAACATGTCTGAGGATTTCCCCACTGGTGATAAAATAGAAAGCAAAAATGTTGGAAATATGACACTGTTTGAATGGAGCACAGAAAGAAGGAAAAAACAAAGGATGTTTTTTTTTGTGGGGGAAGATCTCCGTATTATAGTGACAATAACAACACCGGGGCTCTGATTTAAGTACCAATGAAATAGTCATTCTGTAAAAACAATATGTTGGTGCTTTAGGTAAGATCTCAAAAAAGTACATAAGATCTCAATGATGATACTAATGAATCAGAATCTATTGAACAAACCGGTTTACTAAAATGAATCAAAATTCAAATGTGTAAGTGTTCTTTATTGCTTAAGCTCATCAATTGGAAAGATGTGTATGCATTTATATTGACATAAAAAAAGCTACACGTACTTTTTATATGTATACACATACATTTGTGGTAGTTTTTATGCTCAAAAATATTCAGTAAAACAGTTATAATGTAAAACATTATTACAATTTTTTAAAAAAAATTCTATTTTAATATATTTTGAAGTTTTATTAATTTATTCTGTGATGGCAAAGCTGAATTTTTAGCAGCCATTACTTCAGTGTCACATGATCCTTCGGAAATCATTCTAGTATGTTGATTTACTGCTCAAGAAACAGTTCCTATTATCAATGTTGGAAACAATTGTGCTGCTTAATATTGTTGTTGAAAACTATGATACTTTTTCATGATTGTTCGAGGAATAGTAAGTTCAAAATAACTTTTTTTTGTTTGCTTTTTAGAAATCTTTTGCAAAAGATTACAAATGTCTTTCCTGTGCCTTTTAATCAATTTAATGCATTCATGCTGACCAAAAAGTATTAAATTAATTTTAAAAATATTATTGATCCCAAAATTACACACACACACACACACACATACATACGTACGTACGTGCGTGTGTGTGTGTGTGGCAAAACAAGTGACTGTTGTCATTGTCAGTGGTTTTCATTACAGACACCAGACACCAAAACACCCCCAAACCAGTGTAGTGTTGTCTTTTTCATCCAAATAAGGTTTTAAGGGACAATAACAGATCAAGAGATGTTTGGAGCTGAGTGGTACTGTAGTTTACCAAGGAACTCTCAGGATCTGAGTCACTTCATTAGCATTCTCTTAGCAGCCTTCCTTCCTGTTTGTGGTCAGATAATTTGCACACACCCTCAATTCTCTGAGGAAATCATTGGGCACATGGCATTTTAGCCATTTAAGTAGCGCACTGTAATCATTCAATAATCAACAGACTAGACAATAGAGAAAGGACAGACCCACTCACTCGGTTTTATGGTGAATTTGTGAACCTCTTTAGCATAGTATTCCTCCTCCATAGGATCTTCTTTAGGTTGTTCAGGAGGTGCCGCCTGCTCCTCAGTTAGCTCCACGGTGCTGTTGTACACCGAGATGAGCTCTGCTGGGATGTTTTGTAACTCCTTTTCCTCATCTACTTCTGGTTCCTTAGACAGTCGTAGCTTGCTGAGAATCTGTCCTCGAATGGCTTCGATGCGCTTTCTCTTTATTAGCTCCAGGTCTAAAGGACTGCATGTTGACAATGCTCCGCTATAGTGCACAAATCCCAACAGGCATTGCAATGCCAGTAATAAACTCTCCACCCTCATGGTCAACGTCGTTGGAATTTATGTTTAGTCTTTGAATGTGGCACTAGATGGTTACAGAAATAAAAGGACTTGAGCACTTCTATATACAATGCAGGCGTCACTTTAGCATCGCTACAGAATAAGTTGGTGTTGTCTTCTTTACTTCAAACCCAACGGCCTGAATCAGAACCCAAAAATCACTGAGATATGGATGCCCATATTGCTGGCACAACAGACTCAATGGATCTGAAATAAAACAAGCAAAACTCACCAATGAAGTCAGAGGTCCATAGAAAGTACACAATAGATGTCTTTGCAAGCCACCATGCTTCATTTACAGTACACAGTTTCCATTCGATAACCTCAACGGTTCCTTGGGTCCCGCTCAACAGGAACAAACAAATACACGTATTTGAGGTTCAAAGTAATATCAGTTATTTTCGTGTGCCGTACCCTTGTTCTGAAAACTTAGTTTGCTCTCAACTCAAGGAATGACAAAAGAGGAAAAGGAAGCAGCAGAGTTTAACCAAATGACACAACACTTCCTTTGCAGCACAGTAGCTTCCCCTGTAGATTTAACCCAAACTGTGGACAATATGTGAGGCAAAGGGTTTAAATTAACTCATGATGGCATTCATGTGTCTGGAGTCTGCTGGCTATTGCTATCCACTCGACAAAGGATTAAACATTTAGAATGAAACAAGATGTTATGAAATCTTTTTCTAATTGAACAAGAATTCACGAAAGAATCCTTAACAACCTTCTTATGTTACATTAAAGCTTTCTTAAGGCCCGTTCAAACCCATAAACATATTAGCACCCACACCTACGCAATATAGTGTTGTTTATTACAGCAATACACTGTTTTGTTGTCTGCTACTTTAAATCCTCAAGCTTTTTAATGTTGAGTGGATTATGGTTGGCTATCAATGTTCTTATTTGCTAATCAGCTGGGGGGAAAAATTGTTCTGAAAGGGATTCCAACAATATTGTTCTTCTGCGTCATCATTATAGTTGTAGTGTAGACTTCCCAATTCTCATAGAATTAGAACAATATCACTTTATACTATATACTTCAAGGTCTGTTCATACCAAGAACGATAACTATATAGTGTCCACTTAATGCTGAACTGTTCCATGACAGTTATGTCATAGGTGTGTATACTCTGGGACTTCACCTTCTTTGACATGGAAATTTTTTTTCTGCTGTTGTGCTGAACTTTGACGTAAGTATATTGTGGCCTTTAGGATACTGCTATCTCATGTGTGAGTATTGAACTTATTTCTCAAAAGTATTCATTTATTTGTATGTAAAACTTTTTTTAATGAGTAAGAAATTAACAAGGTTAGTTGGGTATGTTAAGGTAACAGTTAAATGGCACAACACAGAAATTATGGGCTGCAGTTTATCTGTTGAAATATCTTCCACACCTTGTGTTTACAGAATGCAGACTCAATTCCCAAAGGAGGTATCCTACTTTCAAATTTGAGAACACTTAGAAGAAAGCAGACGGTTTTTAACAGTAAATTAGCAGAGGTACCAAAAAATGACGACAGCTACACACTCATCAATGTATAAAAAAAAAAAAACACCCTCCCCCATCTTTCTTTCTGTCTATATAAAGAAACAGAATTTAAGAGAGGAACTGATGAACTTCAGGAAGGATGCGAAACAGTGCATCAAAATACTCTTAAGACCCAACGTTTCAAAACATTTCTGAAACAAGATGGTGTCAACATATTTTTTTAAATGGTTGTTTTTTCATCCCTATCAGAACAGAACAGTTGGCCGGCTATAAACACACACACACACACACATAATATATAAAATATAAAATATAAATAAATAAATTAAATATATATATAAAAATCAAATTGAGTAGTCTTTTAAATATTCTTCCTCAGACTTTGACTCACCATAGCCTGCTGATTGCTGATGGCAAAAATGAGCTGTAACCTTACTCGCTCTTTTATCTTTTTTTAGTCTCACTAAAAACACTCTACACAGGAAATGAGCAAAATGTGATAAAGAGCTGATTCTCAGTATCTACAAAACACAGAGCATGCTACAAAATGTTACAGTAAGATGTGTCTATATATATATATATATATGAAACAGAACTATGTACTGACACTATGTACTTACCTGAACTGCGTCAGGTTTTTCTTTAATAGGACTTTCTCATGTCAATCCTTGATGAATGACTTAAAAATGTTTAATTCAGAAATGATTAACATTTAAAAACTGCCTAATTGAATTGCATCAAAACAAAATACAATTCTATAAAACATACACTGTGAATAAAAAAAGTGTACAAAATGAAATAAAAAAGTATTGTTTGAGATCCAAAGCGCAAAAACACATTATCAGTCTGTAGAGATAAATCAATCACTTAACATTTCACTCAACTCCTTGTATAACATACTACATTCAACATTTTTACATTCACACATACCTTATAGAACTACCTCCTGCTCATTATAACAAAATATTTTACCTTCTTTTCACTCCATATATCTCTGATCTGAAATGTGTGACAATCTGCAGTCCATTCTCAGCTCTCCACACCATATCTGTCAAAGTGGCGCAGAATAACGCACAGCTCTAGTTCAACTGTGCCCATGCCAACTGTGTGGAGTCTGTATCGGTCTGCGCCACTGTAAATTAGATCTGGCGAGCGCAGCTGTGGACCTCCTCCGACAAACATCTCAGCAAGTTGATCCTGCCAGGATCCCAGCGGTCGCCATGTCACGCACTGCAGACGATGCTGTCCTGGGCTTGATGGTATGTGGATATAACCATAGCCATACAGCTGGCATCGGCCAAAAGAGTCCTGATGCCACACTTGGAGATGAAGCTTTGGCCATCCTAGAAGTAGAAAAAGCCTTTATATATTAAATCATGCCTAAGTGATTATAAACCCTTTCTGCCACTCTAAAACTCAAGACGAATACCTTGTAGGCCCTTAGTAGTGTAGTGCAAATCAATGGGATGACTCCAGTATGCCATGTCCCCTGTTTGAGGCATGTCCACTTGAGTCTGGCCTTCCTTCAGACCAGAAAGAAGTCTCCATGCTCCTCCTGAATGGCATAAAGTGAAAAAGGTTTTAGTACTTCATATTAAGACAAACTTTGGGATGTCAAATAAACATTAAAATAATCATTCATAAAATAAAAAAACATAAAAAAAATTATTAACACCATTAAAATGTAAGACAAACACAATAACTGTCAATAAGACCAGCGTTTTCTGGTCACCACTTTACAAAGCCCCTAAGTGAATATGGAGATGGAAAAAAATATATGAGATGGGAAGAAAATGTATTCTCTCGCTAAATATTTGTGTTCTTTTGCAAAAGCATTGCATTCTGTGTTCTCTCACAAAACATATGTGACCTGGACCACAAAACCAGTCTTAAGTCGCTTGGATATATTTTTAGCAATAGCCAAAAAAACATTGCATGGGTCAAAATTATCGATTTTTTTTTTTATGCCAAAAATCATTAGGATATTAAGTTAAGATTATGTTCCATGAAGATATTTTGTAAATTTCCTACCGTAAATATATCAAAACTTAATTTTTGATTAGTAATATTTAGATTTTTTTGCACCCTCAGATTCCAGATGTTCAAATAGTTGTATCTTGGCCAAATATTGTCCTATCCTAACAAACCATACATCAATGGAAAGCTTATTTATTCATCTCAATTTTAAAAAATGGACCCTTATGACTGGTTTTGTGGTCCAGGGTCACATATTATTTCAATGCTTTTGCATTCTCCTGCAAAATATTTTTGTTCTTTTGCAAAAGTATTGCGTTTTGTGTTCTCTCACAAAACTATTGCGCTCTTCCTCACACCTCATATTATTATTATTATTATATATCATTATTACCATCACGAATGTTTTGAGGGTGAATGCAAAAGTTTTGCAAGTTTTTTTTTTCCTGAACACTTTTGGGAGAAAATGCAAAATCATTAAAATACAATTATTTTGCATACATTTTTTTTTCTTAATTATCATTACATCCCTTTAGGGGTCCGTAAAACTTAACTTTTTAACAGAGTATAACATATTTCATAATAAAAACAAAAAGGACACCTGTGTGTACACCCCATTTGCAGAAGAGGCTGTTCTGTGGGAATCCGGTGGCCCCAATGATTTGTCCAATTATATGCAATTCTGCCATAAGAGTCCTGAAATATCATTATGCAGTGTGTTAGTTATCACATCCATCTGTTCAAATGGCTATATAACCAATTTCATACACTGTATTAGCATATTCCACTATTCATATATTTTGAGATTCATACATTTTATGAAAAATTTTTTTTTGCTCCAACATATCTTAACCATTTCTACATGTTTGTGATTTATTATACATACTGTATCATTTTTAGCATTGACAAACTTCATAAACGTCATACTTCTCTGCTATAAACTTTCAGACCCGTTACAAGTTCATTGGGTGCATTAAAACAGGTTTAACGTTAGATAACAGCTTTAGTTTTCAGTTAAATCTATCTACAGATATCTAACCCCACCTAGTCACTAGCGTAAATTAAAACTAACAGATCGCTAACGTTAACTTTAGCCAATTAGAGACCCATTTACACTCGTTTCACAACTCCATTAACAAAGCAGAACAGTTCAAATTAACACTCGTACCACAATCACCACAATCGACTCATTGATCGGCAATGCTGGTAAAACTGGAAAGCGAGCAATAACGCTAATCAAGTAAACTCGCTCCCTGTTTATTGTGCCTTCCTGTCGTCAAGGATAATTTCCTTAGCAACTCACTTCCTCGTGCTCTGTGTTTGTGGATATTCTTAGTTTGACAAGGTTTGTGTCTGCCATCTGGCGGCACGTGCTTGTGTTGCATTGCAAGCAAAGAGGAAGAGGCAGTGTTAACATTGCACTTCAATGGAAGTCTTAAGAGTCCTTTCTTGTTTTCTCGTGATTATCTCGAGATCTCGACCTAACAAAAGCTGTTTTCTCGTGATCTCGACATAACAACAGTTGTTCTCTGAGTTACACAACTTTGCCAAAAGGTGGCAGTATAGAACTGAATATAACTGATGGGGTGAATCACCCCGGGTGATGTATAGTGTATATCCACTTTGCTGTTCACGTTTGGCACAGAATAAGGACCTTCTTCGTGATCGCTATAATTTGAGCAGTATTGTTCATTTCTGACATTAATTCATAAATGTTAAATGCTTGAATCAATATGATTATTTTGTGTATCGTTATGTTCTTGCTAGAGGCATATCTCATCACAGTTTCACAACTGTTGTGATAAACGAACTGCTTATTGAAACCAAGGTTGACGTCGTCACTGATGTGTTGTGATGTGTTCTCATTCAAAACTATTGTATGTCCCAATAGATCGTATGTAGCCTTACAGGATGGCCTTTCAAAAAATGAAAACAACTTTTCTTCATTTTACATGTCAATGTGTAACAACTGACACATTGTTT